GGTTTCAGGTCAGCCCTGTTTGGAGGCTGTTGGCACGGGGAAGCTGTTGGCACGGGGAAGCTGTCAACGGGCTAACCTATGTGATTGGTCAGGAAGGCATGTTTGGCTTTTTCCAGTTGGACCTAACTTGGAAAAAGGGAAAAAAATCAAGGAAGCTGCCAGTTATTAATCAATTCCTGGTTGGTTGACCCTGGCGGTTACAGGGGTTATTGTTTGGCTCCCTGGACCAGTTGCTAGAGATAATGACCTGACTTCCTACATGTCTGATTTATAGAGAGTGGATTGGTTTCCTGGACTGGTTACTAGAGATTATGAATTGATTTCTGGGCTGGTTGCTGCAGATTGTGGATCAGGGTTCTCTTTTTATGTATGGTCCAGCCATTGTCCATTTGTATACTCAGTCTCTCAGAAGTCACCTGGTTGAAATCCCAGCCCCAGTATTTAACCCCTAACCATTGTCCAGCATAATGGAGAACTCCATCATACAAAGTGGCCGATTCCATTCTGAGACAACTCTGTTTCCATATTTTAGTGATATTAATATTTAGAAAATTGTGCCTTCTAGTAATGCCCACTGCTTAGGTCTAGATCTGTATTCTGACAGAAAATCGAACCCTCGGTACATGGAACTCTCTGATGGCCTCCCCTTGGCAGATATTCCTGATATCTAAAGAAATGCAGGCTTTGTATGCAGTGGAAACATCTTGATGTCACAGCCTTAATCTTTCTATTCTACATCTCAGGGATAATCCTTTGCTCTGTCCACCCATGTATTTCATTGTAAATATACAACCACCACTCTAACTGTGAAAGTGAATCCTAACAGTAGGCCAAGATCCTTTCACCTGTTTCTAATCTGGGTAAAATATCTCAGAAAAACATTATTTGAGTCAGCACCGGTTACTAAAATGCCACCCTACATAAGTACTTGGGACTTGAATAAAATTTCAATTGATGAATTCATATTTCTTAACTTTCCCTCATAGCAGATACTCTGCTCTGTCTCCCCAACCTCCAACCATTAGAGTCATAGAACATTTATGTGCTTTTCTTTTTTCTTTTTTTTTTTTTAAAGACACTGTCAACTAGGCTGGAGTGCAGTGTCACAATCTCAGTGCACTGCAACCTCTACCTCCCGGGTTCAAGCGATTCTCCTGCCTATGCCTCCCAAGTAGCTGAGATTACAGGCACCCACCAGCATACCCAGCTAATTCTTGTATTTTAGTAGAGATGGGGTTTCACTATATTGGCCCGGCTGGTCTCGAACTCCTGACCTCAGGCAATTTGCCTGCCTCTGCCTCCCAAAGTTCTGGGATTACAGGTGTGAGCTACTGTGCCCAGTCTATTTGCTTTTCTTAAGCGAATGAATTTTTTTCTTTGTCCTTCCAATATTCAAACATGAAGAACATCAGAGAAAGAAAGACATACAAATGGCTCTTGAGCTGATCCTCCTTGGCATTAGTAAAGGAAGAAGGGGTTTTCTTAAAGTTGTTATCTACCTACTTAGATATAGCAGAGCATAAAACAACAAAATCAGAGGATCTCTTTCAGACTCCGCACCCAACCATAGTGTGTTAACCTGCTATATGAACACTGACTTACCTTCTCTGGCCCAGCCCTCTGCATTAGCAGACAATACTAAGTATTCTTACTAGGCAGAATAGGTCATTTCCCCCCATGTACTCTTACCTTACTCTTCAACCTCAAACATTGTAGTTAATACTCTTTCTGTCCATTGTGAGTGGATTACAGAAAAAAAAAAAAAAAAAAAAAACTCATTGTCTTATTCCATGTTGCAAAGAAAATGTATATACTGAACAACATTACTTCTTACTATATAATACTCGCACACAAAAATTCATGCTAGTAAATAGTATCTCCACCAAGCCCCTCAACTATGTGTGTGATCAATATAAAATGCCATTAAGTCACTGGACATGAGTCAAAGTGGGAGTACAAGGCAGACCTCAAACAAACAAGAATTTCACTATCTCCCACACCCTACCACCACCACAGAGAGAGAAAGAATGCTCATTCATCCTGTAGACAAAAACTGTATGGAGCAAACTTTCTCACAACGGGGAATCCTATTAGCCTTTCTTCTCTCCTGAGAGATTCCAACTGTTTTTAGATTCAGTCAACAAATTATAAATAATTTAACTTAGTGATTATTGCTAAGGGAAGAAAAATTAATACATAATAATGGGTAGGTTAAAAAAAAAAAGAAAAACAAGATCATGTCCTTTGCAGGGACATAGAGGGAGCTGGAGGCATTATCCTTAGTAAACTAATGCAGGAACAGAAAACCAAATGCTGCATGTTCTGACTTATAAGTGGGAGCTAAATGATGAAAACACATGGACACATAGAGGGGAACAATACACACCGGAGCCTATCAGACAGGGGGAAGGTGGAAGGAAAGGAAGGAGAGGATCGGGAAAAATAACTAGGCTTAACACCTGGGTGATGAAATAATCTGTACAACACACCCCCATGACACAAGTTTACCTATGTAACAAACCTGCATATGTACCCCTGAACTTAAAATTAAAACAACAATAATAATATGGGTAGAAATCAACAGACAAAATATGATTTTTCTTTCACTCTCTGTTGCAGAGATTACCAGCTCCCTACCAAAGAGATTTTCTTCTTCCGTGGTGTTGTTCTGGAAAGTAGCTACCCAACTTTCATTTAGGATAGAGCCATGTGACCCGTGCTCACCAATGGAACATGAGCCAGAATGAGTCACTTCTAGGCTGAAGTACATAAAGAGCAGTTGTGCCTTCCTCATCATTCTTTTTCCCCATCTGCTCACTGAAATTACAGGACTCTAATGTTTGCAGGAGATGGAAGACTGACAGGATGGAATAAGCTTGAGTTGCTGAATCACTGCCTGGAATGCCATCCACAAACACTCGATCTCGATTTTATGTGAGCAAGAAACATATTCTATCAAGCCACTGAACCATCAGCATTCACTTATTATAGCACCTATTAATTAATATTAATAATTAATATATCAATTCACCCACTTATCCTTTGGGAGATACCCCTAACCCCTACACTCTCTAATTTCAGTTGAATTATGCTGGTTCACCTCCAACTCTCCATAAAAAATATTGAATTGCTGGCTCTGCTATCATATACCTAAAAGCTACTGTGAGCAGGCAGTTTCTGGAAATCTAATTTTGATAAAAATTCATAAAGGACTTTGGACTTTAGCTGTGATCAGCCCTTTACTCTACAGACTATCATGAAGACCAGAGAGGAATGTCATGAACCTTAGGAATAGGCAGGCTCTTGCAAAATTTTTAGTCTGTAATGGGAAATGGCAGCTGGTATCCAAACCAGGCCTTAACCCTGGAGGAATCCTTTGCTTCCTGGTTGCAGTTGAAATACTGGACCTTTCTCTTCCTTTAAGCCTCAGATATATTTTCTTATGATCTCTCTTATTTCATATCTTCACACTGATAGTAAGGCCTTTTTCCTGTTTCCAAATCACTCCATGTCCTCTAGTGGAGTTTCATGTGTGCTGTTCTTACAACAGTTATTCCACATATTACAGTAGGCAAAGAATAAAGAAGAGAGAGAGGGTACTACTCATGAAACATGAGTAGAGCCCAAATCACATCAGGTCTCATAGGCCATGGTAATGACTTTAGTCTTTACCCTCAGAGGAAAAATGAAGCCACTGAAGCACATTAAGTATGATGAGGATGATATAATCTGTTTTGCTTTTTAAAAAAGATAGCTTTGGCTACAGGGTAGAGAATAGGTAAAGAGGGTAATTAGAATGCTGTGACTGATCAGTCAAGAGATGGTGCAACCTAAGTCAGAGAGTGGCAGAGGGATGGATAAATAACAGGCTTGTGATAAGGTCTAGATATGGGGAATAAAAAGAAAAAGAAATGCTAATGGAAGTACCCAGATGCTAATGGTGCTGGGAATGCTTTTAAACAACAGCACTTGCTCTACTGCTTTTATGTTTGCTTGTTTGTTTTCCTTACAGGTACTTTTTTCTTTTTTGAGACAAGTTCTCGCTCTGTCACCCAGGCTGAAAGCGCAGTGGCATGAACAGGGCTCAGGGCAGCCTCAACCTGCTCAGCTCAAGTGATCTTCTCACCTTGGCCTCCCAAATTGCTGAGATTACTGGCATGAGCCACTACATGCAGTCTTTCTACGGGTTCTTTTTTTTTTTTTTTTTCTATTTTTTGCAGTTCTCCTTGGCGGGGCTTTATTTAAAAGGTATGTTGCCTCCATAATTCATTAAGCCAAAGCTCGGTTTGGGCCAGCTTGGAACCCTAGATGGTTATTACAGAGCAATGGCAGATCAACAGCTCTCCCTTCTGCCAAGGTGGAGGGGATCGTTCCGCTTTAAAAGCAACAAGAAAATGCTGAAACGTTGCACTCTGACTCAGTATGGTTCTGGATTGTGTTTCATTAGTTAGCAGTAAAAGGAGAAAATATTTTAAAGACTCAGTTTCCCTCCTTATAGGTACTCCTTAAGCAATTGTCCTAAAGGGTGGAAAAGTGTCTCTGAACACACATACATATACACACACACACACACTCTCTCTCTCTCTCTCTCTCTCTGCTACCTGCAAGCCATTAGTGAACCATCCATTGCCAGACAGCTCTGCTCCTCCCTCTCCCCTTAGAGTTCTCTGCTTCCCCACAGATTATGAAAAAGCTGGAGATTCACAAATGTTCTTTAATTCTGATGTCAGTGCCCAGAAACACCATCAGATAACAGCTTAGGCCTGAGGGGCTCAATCTACTGATACCTCCCTCAATAAATGTTCTTATGGCTAGTTCTGCGAAGCAAGCTTTACCTACTACCACTTCCTCAGCAGATAACCCTTCCCTGACATTCTCTTGGACATGGGGGTTTTGTTGCTTCTCTCCTCTACATGTTCTCAGGCTCCAAGGGTGATCCTTCCTAGATCCAACACCCCACTACCACCACCAATTCCAAGGACCACAGGGATTCACTTTACCTCCTCTTTCTCAGAAGGACCAAAATTCCTTGGTGCCCATCATGTTGGAGTCCTTCCTCTGTCCTCTGTTCTTGGTCCTAAGGGAGTTTATTTCCTTCATGATGAGGGTGCAGACTCAGCTTCTCTCACTTTTTCTCTGGAACCTCCACTACATGGCAGATGTTAACTGAAAGAGAGAGAGAGTATGTAGCAATTTTTCCCCTTGGAAGTTTGCCTCAGATCAATCAATTTGCCATATTTAACATTCACGCTTTGTGCATATGCTAATAAATCATTAAAATTCATGTGGATTCTAACAGTTTTGGGTTTTCTTTCTTTTTCTATATTTTGTAATTCCTACTGAATTCTGTGAATTATAATGTTGCAACTGAAAGTAGTCACCAGCAAAAATATTCATTGTACACAGGACTAAAAAAAGGAATCTCAAGTTAAAAACTCCACCATTTGTTATATACATTTTGGCCTTGAGTAGTTCACAATTCTGTTTCTCTTTTCCCAGATGGAATACTTATTAACCTCAGATGCGTTTATGTGTTGTTGAACACAGTAACAAAATATGCCCCCTAAAATGTCCAGATAACCTAAAGAACCATAAAGAAGTTAGGGACTTGGGAGGTCATCAGAGCCAAGCTCCCATGTCATAAACTCTCCTCCACATATTATGCCTGAAAGAGCTGGGCATTTGGCTCCCATCTGTACACTTCAGATGTCCAGGGACTCACTGTGAGATGAGCAGTCCCAGTGCTGGTTCCTGCTTCTGTTAGGAAAGTTTCTTTTACTGAAATAATATAAATATTCTCATTGCTTTGACTTCTAGTTGCTCCAGAACACTGAAAAAAAACTTATTTCCACTTCTGAATGATAGTGTTTAATTTCTGGCACACAGTTGAGTCTCCATGATGTATTTTCTTCTCCAGATTGAGCACGTGCAGTGACCTCAATTCTCCCTTGGAGGTCAGGTCTTATCAATTTCTCCCGCATCTACCCAGGTTGACTTCAACCACCCTGGGAACCCTTCTACCTCCTCTCCTGTCATCTCACCATGATGGACTCCAAATTAGGAATGCCCCTGCAGCACCTAGACCCTAACACAGACCAGGAGACATGACGCAAATACCTTAGACCCAGGAATCTCATTAACCATTCTTAACCTCAGCACAGTTCTCTTAGTTTTAACTTTTTAAGCACCATTTGGCTACTCTTAAGCCTGTGCTTCACTAAAACCCAAACGCATTTTTGACATTTTGCTGCAAAGTTAAGACTTCTTCATCATCTGCCTGTTAATTTTGAACTAACTGATGGACTTTACACATATTCTTATTATATTACAAAGAATTGATTTCTGCCTAGTAAGATGTATGAATTCTTTTTTTAACTTTTATTTTAGGTTCAGGGGCACATGTGTAGGTTTGTTAATACAGATGTCTGAATTTTTTTTTTTTTTTTTACAGCTTGTTGTACTTTAATGTGTGATACTCAACTCCAGGTACAAGATAATTGCATTTAACATTGTTATAAACAAAGAGACATCAGATCAGTCATTAAGGGCTCCAGAGTGAATGGTATCTTCATAACCTCCATGTTTATCATCTTTACTTTCTGGATGTAATTTAATAAGATCACCAGTTCAAAGAATGATAATTGCAGCTTGTGTCGCAAATTTCAAACTCTTTAACTATGGTTGGTTCAAACACCCCTGCTTGTTTGTTGTCTCCATGTTTACCATTGCTCAAATCAAGACCAATCCATTTTAGATTTTTACGTTCTGGGTTAACCTGAGCCTCATTACGAAAAGCTCTTAATTTGGCGACCAGATCTGTGGAGTCCTGGGCAGCATTAACTACCAGTGTATTAGGAATAACAAGAAGTGATCTGCAAACTCTGCAATAGCAAGCTATTCCTGAGGCCCCATGCTGGTTGCATAGTTTTCAAGATATATGGAAAGGGCTGCTTCTACAGCACCCCCACCTGGAACCACGGATTTTGACTTGAAAACTCTCTTCACTACACAAACTGCATCATGTGAAGAGTGCTCCATCTCATCACACATGAAATCATTTGCCCCACGTAAGAAAATCGACGCAGATGTACGAGCCTTAGTGTTTTTAAGATCAGCTCATCATCACAAATTCTCTCCTGTACCACTTCTTCTGCCTGTCCCAACACTGCAGCTTCAAAAGCTTCTTCACCTTCCAAATTGGCCAAGATTGACAGAATAGTTGCTCCAGAAGCTTGAGCAATGCCTTTAAAACTCTTCTAACTGCCATAGCACCAGCCTCCACAACGTACTTCAGAAACATATCATCAACTCCACCAGTGGTTAAAATAACGTTGGCACCAGTTGCCAGGATCTTCTGAATTCTCTCCTTGGCGATATCCGATTGTCTTTGTCTAATTTGGTCCAGTTTTCCAGGGTCTGTAACGACCACTAAACACCAAGCTTCATTTTTTTTTTTTTTTTTTTTGTTTTTGGCAGGCCAAAGTCAAGGCAAGCAACTTTTGCATTTATGATTCTCTTGGGCATGCCTTGGGATCCCACCACACAGTTGAGAGCATAGCCACTGATGTGCATACTCTCCGTTTGACTTCTCCCACGGGCTTTCAAAATATTAAGAGAATTCACTGGATACTGTGGCTGGCCTCTTATATCTGTGTATTTAATAGCAAGTACAGCATCTACTACCGTGTTAGCAAAGAAATCACCATTTATTCCTATGATTTTGGAAGACATGAATGTCTTAGCAGCATTAATCAGGCAATCTCTTCCCAGTTCATCTTTGTTAACAATTAGATTTTCATTGATATAACACACTGCTTCCTTGCAAGCAAGTTGATAGCCACTAATAATTCATGTGGTATGAATTTCCTGTTTGACTAATTCATCTGCATTTTTTAGGAGTTCTGCTGCAATAATAACCACTGAGGTAGTTCCATCTCTCACTTATTTGTCTTGCAGATCAGCCAGCTCACAAAGAACGTTAGCTGCAGGATGTTCTACCTCCAGTAACTTCAGGATGGTTGCACCATCGTTGGTAATGGTTACATCACCAATATCATCCACCAGCATTTTATCCAGGCCAACTGGACCAAGAGAACTTTTTACAATATTGGCAATCAAAGCTGCAGCCATAACATTCTGGGAGCGGATTGCCTCCCCAGTTTTGCAGTCCCTGAACATGGACAAAGGCCCCTCCATCTTCACGGTGGCGGTACACATCGACTTCTGCTCACACCGCGGGCAACCAGTATCGCGGCCCTTCGGCCGACCAGCGACCACAGCAGTGGCGGCGACAGTGTAGAGCAGACCCGAGCGATGCCCCGGGAGCTGCTGGGTAACACCGCCCCACCCACTTCCCGGCTGCCCGGTCGGCGGCAGGGCACGGTGGGAAGCAGATGTCTGAATTTTTATTTTGCCATTTGAAATATTAGCTCTTCTTCCCAACTTTCAGGCAACTATCAAAATACTAAACAGGATAGACAACAAAATTCTGTGACAACATTTAAATGTATGAAATTTATTTTATTACTAAAATATATAAAATTTAAAAATTAAATTTGAATTATGTACTTCAAAAATAAAAATTCCAAATGTACTTTCTGATGTGACTTCTGAGGTGAGTTTGCTCCCTGCACATAAGAGGATAAAAGTAAAATAGAAATAGTCATATTCACAATTGCCAACCTGAGAAACTTAATTTTGAAAGAACTTATTAAAACCGACTACAGAAAATGGAAGGACAAGAGGTATGCTGACATCCTATTGAAGGCATTTATTGTGCTGTGCAAGGAAATTTTAGATGCACTATTCTGTAATCCTTCCCAGCTTATAGGCTTTACTTGCATAGATGCCCAGACTAATGAAAATAGGTAACTGAATTTGATATTCATTTATTACAGCAATTTCAATGGGTCTTGCACTATTGAATATATATACAAAGACTTCTAGTCACACCTGTCAATTCAGTGATCTCAAAGAGCCTTTGAAACAATGACATAAAAACCAGATAGCAAAAGAAAACCAATTTGTTTCAGCAATTTAATGTGTCTTTGGTTATGTTTCACAGATAAATATGTGCATATGCATTCAGTCCTGAGACATATGTATATATAGAATTGCTTAACTGTAATGCATTTAGCAGTAAATCTATGACCTAATTATTGCTATAAATTCATTACCAAAGCCTTTCCCTTTCACACACCAAGCGAAAATATAAACCTTGCACCATTATGAATTCTAACTGCAGCCAAACACATCTAATTATAATCAGTTGCAGTGAACTCTCACTCTGCATTAGGCATAATTAACCATGTGATAAATAATCAGTATAATAACATTTAATGTGCTGTGATAGCATTTCTAAACTATTCATGTGAATTCTAGAAAATAGAATGTACTTCAATTCTAACCAATGTTTTTAACCCTTTCGTGATTGAAATTTCATTCAGTGCCTTGTAAGAGAAATTTTAGTGCACTCACTCAAAAGTGCAAAATTGGATAAGCTTAAGGACATCCTTATGTACGTTGTAATAAAAACATTTTCTACTGTCATGAAAATATTATCTACTTTAATAACATTTAATAGTAAATTACACCTCTACAAGTGTAGCCACTTTCTAAATTTTTAAGCATTGTCCCTAGCATGGCCAAGATTTTTCTTGGCATAGTAGAGGATATAATTAGTAATAATTTTTAATTAATGAATCTGCACTTAAAGAAAGGTGTCACACCTGGTTTGTTTCAATAATAAGTGATAACCATAATTAAATGTCTTCTCTGTCCTTAAAAAGAATAAAATATGTCTATTCTATGGAAGAATATCCTTTTATTCTAGCACATAACATTTTTTATCACCAACACTAATATTTTCTTTTTAATTCCTATGACATCAATGTCAATTTGGAACAATATAAAATAATATTTCTGATTTTCATGTCCTTTGTTCAACTTTAGGCTAATTTCTCTCATGTCATTAAATGACAAAATGATAATAGCACCTATCAGAACTCCCTGTTTCTATTTTATAAATATGACAATAAGCCCTACGGAATTGCAAATGTTAGTTGGTTATACTGTAATTTTGTTTTGCATTGTAATCATGCTTAAAAATGGATCTTAAACTAGGGTTTACAATTTTTTTCCTCTGGGCAGAAAGTGTCATAATAATATTTTCTCTAGTGAGCTTTGACCTATATTTTCATTATAAACATGGTTATATGTTACATTTAATTACTTGTCTATTTTTCCTCTCTCTTTGCTCCACAAGACTTTAGCCTGGTAATCTCTATGGCTCATCTTTATATGCTATTCTGAATTAACTCTTAATTAATCAAAGTTGCCAAGTGAATGCTCTTTCATGTTATCTATGCAATCGCTATCTGTGTTTCCACTTCATCAACTGAGGGGTTCTTCCAGAAGAGCTGGTAGAGTTAGAGTAATTCATTCACATTTCCGCACCATTATGTACAAATTCGGATAGATAAATACGAAACACAATATGCTTCTCACGAAATTTAACCTGTAACCTTGTCGTTATTACGCATATTCTTACTGACTCACCTAGCTGTCCACAAAAAATAAAGTAGATGTCACTGAGGAGTTGCTGTCTCCTCTGTATACAGAGAGAGTTGCTGTGGATCTAGCTAAAGGATCCTACTTTTATTTCTACTTTGTTACTGTTTATAAATGAAGCTGATACAAAAATTAAGAAATAAATAAGGAAACTACATAAAAGTACTACTAAAATATATTTACTCTCAAAAAGCATATGCCTCTTTAATATTATAATGGGGGACGTGAGAGTGGAAATAAAATATTCTGTGAGAGGAGGCTCCTCATCTGTTGGCTTTATTGCAGTTCCGCCAAAACATTCTTTTATGCCAGAAAAACATAGGAACATAGGCCATTTATTTCATGTAGACCAAGCCCTGTGCTGGGAATACAAACATGAATAATATATGGTCTCCGCTCTCACAAGACTCACTTTTTAATTAGGGAAACTGACTAAAGTACATAAAATATAACTACAGGACACTGTGATCATTGCTAGAGGCATACCATGGAGGAAGTGATTGTTAGAGTCAAGAAAGAACAGTCTGATAAAGAAATGAAGTGTTCTAAACTAAGAGGAAAGCATATGCAAAAATACAAGTGCATGTACGTAACAGCCTGATCTATCTGAGGAGGTGGCAGATAGTTTCCTATGGCCAGAGTGCTGCAAGCCTGTGACCAAGGGATGGAGAATATAAGGGAAGAAGACAGTGGGAGGAAGTTGCCAGCATGCAAACCCCATGCTGACCTCCAATTGATGATCTCATTATTTATTTCCTGTCCATCACCCCATTCCTGCATTCCCTTCTTTCCTTATTTACTCAGCTTAGATGCCGTGATCCATCATTATGATCACAGTTCACAAACACCTTCTGATCCTTTGTCTGTTTCTTCCTGTGCCACATTCCCAGAGCAAAATCCAAACCCTGGTTAACTACTCCCTTCTTCTTCATCCACAGCTACATCAGAGTAGCTGAGCTGGAGGAAAACAACACAAACACAATCTTTTTTTTTTTTTTTTTTTTTTTTTTTTTTTTTTTTGAGACAGAGTCTTGCTCTGTCACCAGGCTGGAGTGCAGTGGCATGATCTTGGCTCACTGCAACCTCCACCTCCCGGGTTCAAGTGATTCTCCTTCCTCAGCCTCCTGAGTAGCTGGGACTACGGGCATGCGCCACCATGCCTGGCTAATATTTTGTATTTTAGTTGAGATGGGGTTTCACTCTATTGGCCAGGATGGTCTCGATCTCCTGACCTTGTGATCCTCCCGCCTCAGCCTCCCAAAGTGCTGGGATTACAGACATAAGCTACCATGTCCGGCCACAAAGACAATCTTATTAGTACTATCATAATCATGCAGACTCACCTGACGTTACATTTTTTTATTATAAATCTCAGCAACACAATTACCTTTTTCTCATAGTTTGTTTTTCCCCTCAACAACCTATCTAATACCTTCCTTCTCTTAAAACATCCAACAGCTTTTTCTCATCCATCTCCCTTATTTCAATGAGAAAATAACAGGGATCAAAAGAAAAATTACACCATTTCCCGTCACTTGTTTATACCAGTCAGTTGTATCTCTGCCTATAATCTGACTTGTCTCTTGTAAAACTAGACAAACAATAAGCGTTCCCCTCTACATCCACTTGTACACAGGATGCCATCCTCTCCTGCCTACAGTAGCTGAAACAATAGCTTATGAAACTAACCTATTTCCCTGTTCTCCTACATCAATCATTCCTTTCTACTAACTCCTTCCCATTAATTCAAACATGCTGTAATATGTCCCATATTTAAATTACTTTCCTTTATTTTATGTGCCATTCCAGCTGCTACACCATTTTTATAATTTTTATTGTAGCAAAACTCCTTGGATATATTGCTTATATGAACTCTCTCTACTTTCTCACCTCTTGTTCTCTTTTTAATCTACTTTTATCAGATTTTTATCTCCACTACTCTACTGAAATTTATTTTATCATGGTTTTTAACGGTCTCCATTTTACCAAGTAAATAAGCAACTCTCAATTTTCATCTTATTCAGCCTACTTAAAAAAAAAAATCTTCCCTTCTAAAATCATATTCTTCATTGGACTTTGAGGACCCCCTCCTTCCCTGGTTTTTCCCGTACCTCACTGACCACTTTCTCACAGCCCTCTCTGTTGGTCCCTCCTCCCCTTCTGACCTTGGTGTCTCAAGGCTCTATCATTGGTCTTCTTCTGTAATGACACATTTCCTCTAGATATCTCATCTAGCTCCAGAAATTTGAACACAATCTATACAGTGAGTTTTATCTCCACTTGCATTAGTTATTTATTCCTGCATGGCAAATTACCCCCAATCTAGAGACATAAAACAATAGACATCTATTATCTTTGTTTCTGTGATTTAGGAGTCTGAGAACAGCTTAACTGAGTGTCCCCGGCTCAAGGTCTCCATAAAGTTACAGTCCTCTGAAGATTCCAAGGGCTGATGGTTCTGCGTCCAAGCTCACCCAGAGGGCTGCTGGCAGGACCTCGCACAGGGGCTATGCCACTGGGCTGCCTCACAACAGCTATTTTTAGCTACTCTCAGCTAAAAATTTTAAGAGAATGCTCAAGACATAAGCTACAGTCTCTGTGTACCCTAATCTCAGGGGTGATGTATCATTACTTCTACCATATTCTATTCATTAGAAGCAAGTAGTGAGTCCAGCCCACACTCAAGAAAAGCTGATTACTCAAGAACGTGACTATCAGAAGATGGGGATCAATGAGGACCATCCTAGAAACTGCTTATCACACCACCTCTCCCACCCTTGAGCTTGGCTTATAAATCCACTGGGCTTGAGCCTCATATAGGGCCCATGTGTAGTCTTCCGCCTGTCCATCTTCTGACTATGATGCTGTCTCTGGTCTAACGCACTGGAGCATGGCAGGGGTAGCAGTAGTGGCAAATGTTCTTAATCCATTGACCACCTCCTCTACTGCGGGCCCCAGGGTAGTTCCCCACTCCTTCTGTAGTCTCAACATTCCTCTAGGGGTATCTACATGTATCTCCTCTGAGGGATTTCAAGACCCTTGCTCTGTAATACTTAAACAGGCCCTTCTGATTGATGTCCTTGCCTCTGAGCAATGTGGCAAGGCCATGTTCTCCCAGGTCAGCCTGAAGCCATAGTGAATGAGGGAGAGAGGTTCCTGATGTGAAGAGAACTATTCTTACTTTGCTAGTGGTCCTTTTCGCTCCTCCCCATTGGTGGTGGCATACGGAAGGCAGTGATGGGGTCAACACTGAAAAAGATCACATTTGAGGAATGTATGATTACAACCTAAAAGAGCTGAAGAGAAGACATAGGTGGAAGATATGGTATTTTACATTTACATTATAAAATTCTAAAAAGTAAATTTAAAATGACCAGAAAATGAATTATTGTTAACATTTACCTGCATCCTCTGGGCAAGACTTGCATTTGTGATTATCACCAACAAAGCACAGTAACTTCAATAGGGTAACTGGAAACCAGTATTCATCCAAACTACAGAGGATAATGCAGGAACATGAATAATGATGCTCACATTAAATAAATGGTATGAGGAACCTTCAGACAGACGCAAGATTTATTTTGTTTCAATACGAGCAGGATCCTAAGAGCCATGGCATTTTGAGTGATAGCAGCATTGCTACTTTATTCTCATGGTAGATTGCTGTGAACTGAATGTTTATGCTCCCCACCCTCAAATTTATATATCAAAGACTTACATTTGAGCTTTCTGATGGTGTATTAGTCTGTTTTCATGCTGCTAATAAAGACATACCCAAAACTGCATAATTTATAAAGGAAAGAGGTTTAATTGACTCACAGTTCCACATGGTTGGGGAGGCTTCACAATCATGGCAGAAGGGAAAGGAGGAGCAAAGTCATGTCTCACATGGTGGCAGGCAAGAAAGCTTGTGTAGGGAAACTCGCCTTTATAAAACCATCAGATATCATGAGACTTATGCACTATCACAAGAATGGCACAGGAATACCCGCTCTCATGATTCAGTTACCTCCAGCTGGATCCCTCCCATGACATGTGGGAATTATGGGAGCTATAATTCAAGATGAGATTTGGGTGGAGACACAGCCAAACCATATCAGATGGTATTAGGGGTGGGGTCTTTGGGAGATCATTACATTTATATGAGGTCATGAAAGTGAGGCTGCTATGATGGGATTAGTGTCCTTAGTGCCATTATTGCAAAAGTAAGAGAGAACAGAGCTCAACTCAATCTCTCTCTCTCCCCTCTCTCACTCTCTCTCTCCATTCCCCCCATCTCTCCATCATGTATAGATACACCAAGAAGAGGCCATCTGCAAACCAGGAAGAAGGCCCACACCAAGGATCATGTTTACAACATAAATCTGTTTATATCACTCCTCTGCTAAAAAAAAGCAATAAATACATGAAATCAAACTTCACAATTGCTTCTTGCCACACATAGAATAAAATCTAAAGCCTAAAATACCTGACCTCCAGCTCTTCTAATACCTTCCTCCTTTCTCCTTTATAAGGTGTACAAAAAACACCACCTCCTCAAAGAGACCTTCCCTGATTACTCTCATCTAGTCTTTTTCAATCTGTCATTCTCTAGCTCCAAATTTTCTATATTTTCTTCATAACACATCACTATCTGAGTCAACGCTGTATCTTGTAAAGTTATTTTATTTTATTCTGGTCTGTCTCTCCTGTTAAAATGTAAGTTTAATTAGGACTGAGACTGTTTATCTATTCACCACTGTAATAACAGTACCTAGAAGAGTTCCTGGGACATAGTAAGCACTGAAAATATTTATTATATTTGATAAAGTAACTGTTTTATGGCATACCACAAAAGATGTGTGTTTATAGAGCTATGGAAACACACTGAGGAGTAATTAACACCAATGGTCATGGTCAAATGCAACCTGCACATGAATGCCAGATTAATACCCGACTTCCTCTTTTTCTTTTTTTTTTTTTTTTTTTTTTTTGAGACGGAGTCTCACGCTGTTGCCCAGGCTGGAGTGCAGTGGCGCGATCTCGGCTCACTGCAAGCTCCGCCTCCCGGGTTCCCGCCATTCTCCTGCCTCAGCCTCCTTAGTAGCTGGGACTACAGGCGCCCGCCACCGCGCCCGGCTAATTTTTTGTATTTTTAGTAGAGACGGGGTTTCACTGTGGTCTCGATATCCTGACCTTGTGATCCGCCCGCCTCGGCCTCCCAAAGTGCTGGGATTACAGGCTTGAGCCACCGCGCCCGGCCCCTCTTTTTCTTAATACTACACAAATGACAAGCATACTCAGATCACTCCCCTGTTTGGAAAATCTTAGAATCTTCACATTTATTATAGAATACATTTCAAACTCATTCACATAATATTCACAGTTATTCTCAGTCTTCCCCTACCTTATTCTCCCCAACTCTAAGTTTTCATCTCTAATTTTTTTGAGTCATTATAAAATTTCAGTCTTCTCATATTGTTTTGCCCATCTGAAAGATCTTCCATCCCCCGTCTTCCCCCACAAACTTGTTTCTACGTATAGAAGTCCACATCCTTTAAAGTGATGCCCAAGCTTTCTGCTGCTCTGTTGCACATTCCCAACTACTCCCAGAGCTTGCTTGTCCTCCTCCTGTGTTCTCAGCAACTGTGCTTATTTTTTATTTGCATCACGCATTTGGCACTTAGCATTTTCTTTAGTGAATTATTAGTTACTTTTTATGTTTCATGACATTTCTGCTCAACTAAGTGTAGATTAGCTGAAAAGGACAAATACTTAAATCGTTTGTGACAGTCACAAAATTAGGACTAGAGTAAATGTCCAATAAATTAGCATTGGTTGACTAATAAGTGGACACAAATACTGCAAGTAAATGACTGATATTATACTGGGGAATAATATGTAAATGACTGATATTATACTGGGGAATAAGCTCATCTACTAAGGACTATTTTGAGTCAAGTTAACATATTTTAGGAAGAGTGAGCTTAAATTGGAAATTTACATTACTTGAAATAAAAAGACTAAGACTCAAAGGATTTTTCTTCAAATAAATAATATAAAAACATAATATTGATAGTAAATTACAGAGAAAATGAAGATCTGTTTTTCCCAAACATAGGAATGGATCTGTAAATTTTTCTGGGAAGTTGTTCACCACACTATGAAAACTTGCTCATCAATTCTTTTTCTTCCTGTCTTTAATTTTTAGAGTAAGTCCGAAACATCAAGATGTTGATCCTCAGTCAACAGAAAAGTCTTCATTCCCTGATTCTGCATGCTTTTTGAACTTTGAGGAAGGCATAGAGTACTCCTTTGCATTTGCGGGTTGTGTTTCCACACCAAGTGCCCCTGAGATGGCTCTAAAGAGAGTCCTGAGAAGAGCTTCCCCAGAATGACAGCAGATGTGACACTCATGTGTTTCTCTGATGTTCATTCTCTTGAACTTGATTTAATTTACTCTATTAACTCTTTCTAAAAGAAGAACAGTGTTCTTGGCTCAAAATATTATTTTGTTTTATTTTGCATAAATTTGCATAATGAGGCACTAACTCAAAATATGGATAACAAAATCAAGTAAATGCATTAGTCAACCTACAGTAATTGTATTCAAGTTCAACATGGGTGGAATTATACACGTAAAATGCCTACAACTTTCAAATTAATCACAACCTCTATTGAGAAGAGGCAAGAGCGGTGCTGAAGAGCACTACTTAGCAAAGCTGTGAAGAGAGCCCCTGGAGCTATTCTGTTTTTGCTAAATAACTCCACAGAAGACTGGGAGGGGCCCTGTTTTCCTACCAGTGCTATGAGCTATGCTCACACAGCTCAAACTTTATCCCTCCTGTGAACGTATCTGAATAATCTCTGTATTTTTAGGACCCAGCATGGTTTCCACAACACAGTCAGATGATCTCTTCTTTCATTTGAAATTATTCAGTTTTTCCCTAATTCATAAACTAGTTTTTCTGAAAGTGTAGTCTACTGATCACCTCCATCAGAATTATCTGCAACTTCTACACCAGCACTCTGAGGATAAGATCTACAACTTTAATTTTAAACAAGCTTCCTGGGTATTTCTCATTGACATGGAAATGTTTGAGACCCATTCCTACATAAGCACACACATATAGATCACATAACACACATTTCTCATTCTGAGAGAAAAATACACTAAGCAGAGGTCAGAAAGTAAGATTTGTTTTTCCTTTTTTTATTCTCAATTTAGGATTTTTCAGTTAGTCTTTTGTATCAGTTTCTAAAAGGAATGATTATCCACCCTGGGGGAGACCTATTTCCTAGGTAAATAATGAAAAATGGTAACACCTTTTTAAAAATCTGCTTTGCATTTGCTATTCATTGGCAAATTTGTCCTATGACGAATTAGAACCCATCATGTTCCATAAAATTCTTCTTCACGCCCATCTGGAAATGTAACATGTTTGAGCCACATAATTTCTCCAATCAAGGGCCTTACCATTTGGAGATGATTGAGAGTACACAAAGGAGAAAATCCTACAAAGTCAAATATTTTCAGGCTGTAGAAATTAATACTTGAGATCACAGTTTAACCAAATACTTTCATTAAATACAGTAAAGGGCACCGACATTTTCCAGTACTCTTTGTCATGAACAAATTTTTCAAGTCCAGTTGTCCTTGATGTTGCTGGGGGTTTTTTATAGCCCTTCTGTAGAGACTTTCTTTCCAGTGCTGGAATGGTTTATGAGAAGAGCTGGTTGTAAAGGTCTGTCTCAAATAAGTAATTTCCATGTGGGCAGATGTTGTGCTGGTTTTCTGCCTGCTTTGCTGTCAGTCATTAAAATATCTAAAATCAGCAATTTTTTGACAAATATCAAGTAATTAAATGATTATAGCTCTAGCTAACTTTTCAAAAAAAAATTAATAAAGGCCCTGTCAAGTGGATAAGTTCATGTAGTCTCCTTTCTTAATTGCCCAGAAGTGCTTCTAATAACGTGAAAGCTTTTGCTGAAAGAAGAGCTCTTAATGATGAAATGTAGAATGCTTTAAACAAGTATCATCTAAATTAGAAAATAAAAACATCAAGTTCATTAAAAGAAGTATACTACCCAAAGATTTGGGGCCAGGAAGAAATCAACAGGCTATTCAGTGGTTTCTGAGGACAAAAAAAAAAAAAAAAAAGAAGTCCTTTGTATTCAAAAACAGTACACACGACTGCTCCTTTGTGCCCTTTGAGTTTGTTTGCCTGTAATTGTGATCAGTTCATATTAATTTATCCACACTCTCTCCCTTGTTTCCCCTTACTTGTGGTTCAGGGCTTTATAGACCATTGCCAAAATGAGAAAAGAGTCATGTTTGAGCCTTAAAGATTGCATTCCATATCATAATCATCATCATCATCATTATCATCACCATTATCATCATCACAGAATATTGAAAAACAAGTAACAA